CCAAAAAAAAAACTAATACGACATCATAGAGCTAAAAGCAAACAGAAGGAATTAGAAAAAAACATACTTACCAAAGTCTCAGGAAACAACCCAAGTACTTCAAGCTTTTTTAGCACTTCAAGCAACTCTAGCAGCTCTACCCAGGTGAGATCAAATACGTTGGTTGCCGAAAATGTGGTTATAGAAAGCTGCTTAGATGGGTATGATAATGACGATGATGATTTATGTGATCCAGATCTTTCAAGCGATAATGAGAACCCTATTGACGATGATATTTCAGTAAATGAGTTAACTCATTCGAATTTTAAGCAAAAAAGCAGAGAAACTATCAATAAAAATACAAATTTACAGAAAAAAATCTGTAAGTTTATTCACTTTTTTTTTCTAATAATTATCAATTTTATGTCATTTTTTATTTATATTTTTAGGGTTGGCTTCAACCATTGTAAGTATGCATGATATGCAACTTCAAATATTTGCTATCATTCAAGAAATGCAAAAAAAAATTAACGAACTACATACAAATTGAAAAATTAGATTTGGAGATAATATGGAAAAGGAATCGAAATGAATAGAAGTATATAATAATTGGATAATACTTGACCTTTATTAATATTAACCTAATTGGATTAGTTATATAAGGGAGTTTTAATATATAAGAATTTGTCTTATGGTTTTGATTGATATTAACGAAGTTGATATTAATGAAAGTCAGTATACTCAATTGTCATTCGATACAAAAGTAGTCTTGCGAACATGCAAAATCAACATGAATGTGTCTTTTGATAAGTCGAAGTGTTTAAATTCGTATTAAATAATATTTTAATTTCATAATAGGGTGCTATTGCTGAGGCAATTTATGATGCAATTAAAAAAATAAAGTATCCAACCAATGAACACCTTATGAAGATATGTTATGACATGCTATCAGATATAAAAAAAGACGAATTTCAAAATAAATCAAATATTGTGGTTAAAAACGCTATTTTAACAAGAATATCTGTTCACTTGTAAGTAGTTTGTAATGATAAATTATAATTATTGTATGGGTTTGTAGTGAATAGCCTACTCACACACGAGTTCAATATATTTCTATCACATGGAAGAAAACTCCAGTATTGAAATATATTGTATCATATATAAATAAGTTATTCACTAAATATACATATAATAAAATTTTAATTTAGTAATTAATTTTATACTTGCCTTTATCAGGCTCAGCAGTTTTGCCACCAAGCAAGGAGTAACATAGTATAATGAATTAAAAATACTATCTATAGTGAATTCCCAGATCTCGTAAAACTAAAAACAGGAAATCGGCAGGTCATGTATAAAAAGGAACGAAAGTTCAAAGAAGCTGATGTTACAAAGGAATGTTATTTAAAACTTAACCATCCCATTGACGTTAATGACGATTTGCATTACACCTATCTTAATTTGATAATTAACTGTACCTTTGCAGATCCTAATACAGAAAAAAATTCTATTGCATTTGGAATGGCCGTTGCTTTAAACTATCTTGATCCTTCAAAAAGAATTAGCATGGTTCCAAGTGAAGTCATAGAATAAATGAACTATATTCTTGAAAAAATGCAGGTTCCAGATCATGAAGAATTGTAGTTAAATATTATAAAGAAACCATTTGCATATAGAAAAAAAAAATAAATAAATATATGATAGGATTAGCACAATGAATTATGCATATCGATATTGTAACATGAAAATTATATAGATTAACAGAATAATTATAGCTATATGTAGTACTATATTGATATTTTCTATATATATATTTAAATACTTATTTAATATAATGGAAATATTCTTTTATACATTTGACTGCATTAGTGCAATAAAAGTAATTGTTTTATTAAATAGGGGTTAAAGCTAGATATATTTAGTATAAACTTGAAAATAATCTACATGCTGCATAAATTATATTCTTGATATTTATATAAACCAATATCCATTATTGCATCAAAAAAGTAATTCTGACGTATCTTGCTTTAGCCATCCCTTAAATAGTATTTGCACTCATAACTTTGATATTTTTTCTTCTTTCTTTTAATCCCTCTTTGATTGAGTTTGCTTGAACAATCACAGTATTGAAAATATCATATTTTCAATAACTTTTGATATGTTTTACATTTTGTCAAGTATTTTTTTTTTAACAGTTAACCATTTTAGATTTATTATAACAGTTTACTTTATTTGGATTTTTTTGAATCTTCACAGCATTTCAGGGATTACAAAAATAAGTAACATTAATTATTTTGCTGTTGCTTTTATACAGTTCAAACTTAATTGTGTTATTTTAGGCTTTTTACTAATTCTTCGCTCACCTACCATTCTTATAGTATTTGGAGATTTGTGGGTTTACCTTAGCCTTTTTAACTTGGTTTGAACTCTTACAATTTTTTTTCGAATTAATCAATTTTACTATAAGTTCCTTTTTGAAACCTTCTCATCATTCTACCATTCATACCGACCTGGTTGTTTCCTGAGACTTTGGTAAGTATGTTTTATTCTAATTCCTTCTGTTTGCTTTTAGCTCTATGATGTCATATTAATTTTTTTTTTGGTTTAATTTCTTTCTAATTTACGTAAACATTATATTCTCAGCGAACCGGGTTTTGAGTACAAATTTTCGCACTTGTGGGGCACTTAATTGCTTTTACAAATTTTCATTTATTCATATATTTTTGTTATGGTTTATTCTCGTGCTATATTTATTTCCGGAAAAGCCCCATCTGACCGCAGCTGTTGTCAAAGATGAAGAATCAGATGATTTTATCATAGAAGCAGATGCTTTAATACTAACAAATAATATACATAATATAATATTTTATTAATTACATATGTTTGTTTATAAAAAATTTATTCATTAGTAATAAGTTGTATTATTACTATAGAGTTGGATTTAAATTTTTACAAAGTTCTAAAGAAGGTCCATATGTAGTAGCTACACTCCTAACAATATATTCGCACGAGTATATGTAATAAAAATAACAGCTTATGAATTACTATTTTGAAATAAGTTATGTTTTTTCGATTATAATTGATTTATTATTTTTATTATATAGTGCTAAAATCTATATTGACAGAGAAGCTTTTACTGAACTTTAGTGCATGCATAGCAAAGCACACTAACTCTGATCTTTATACTATACCACTAATAGTTGTACCTGTATCTAAATCTCAACAGAATCTACTACCTATTTCACCGCTCCAACTGTAGTTCCTGAAGCACTTCCTTATGATCTTGCAACCACTATTTCTCACTTATCTCTCTATCATTTTTATACATTACGTGCTCTTTTTTTACATCTTTCTTGCATTTATAGTAAGAGTGATACAAACAAAGTGACTATTAGCAGTCTCGGCCTAATATTTTGTCACAGTTTGGAAATAGGCTCATTCTTTCAAGCCTTTATATGCTAGAATGTAATAGTGAAGAAACAGAAATTGAAAATGAAAAATGAGAACAAGAAAGTTAGAGAAAAGCAAGCTACAAGTATATCATAGAACTTATGTTTTCGAAGATTTCTCAAAAAGTTTTGAAGATCTGTTGATAATTGATAGATATCCTAGTGCAAATAGATCGAATAATTCATATCCATTGTCGCCATCATCTTCCGTAAAAGGTTTATCTGTAAATAAGGATGATATTAACACTCTTAACAATAATCAAGACGAAAAATTTTGTTATAAATAATACAATATTCTCTACAATTTCACCACTTTCATCATTTTCATCTACGTTATTATTAAAAGATGCTAACAAAGATGTAAATAGCTAATTTAATTATGATTAGCAACGTAATCATTCTTTAGTAAATATAGTTAATATAGAAAAACCAGAGAGAGCTTTATCTTCTTTTTGTTTAAGATCTAGTAGTGCTCTGTTGAAAGTCATAGAATTAGAAGATTTTTCAAAATCAGAAGAACAAAACCTTATTGAAGACAAAGGTTTCAATGATATAAGTTCGTCAACTCTTATGTCGTTTGATTATTCTGATCAATTCAGAACTAAGAAATAAATAATTATATGTATTTTCATTCAATTAGGGGATCTGCGCTATTGACGAATTTGATAATAAATATCTTTGATCACATTGCTTATTCATGAAGCTATAGAACATTGTTCTAATCGATGGCAAAAGTCCCAATGTAATCAACAATCAAGGGCGCAGTCATATGATCTTCTAAAACAATCAGCTAATAATAAAGTCACAATTTTATATAACGTAATATGATCAGAACAAACATTCATTTTAAAAAAATCATCTTTTTCTCGAAAATTTGTATAAAAAACTGTCTTTTATGCTCTAACAAAAAAATTCTTTGTATATATATAATACCTTACTAAAATTCCAGGAATCGCCCAACCCTAAAGTAAACAAACTCAAAATTTTTCTGGTCTCATATGACTGCGCTCTTGATTGTCGGTTATGTTGGATTTGCTAATCATCTATTCTACTGGTAATCGATGCTTACCCTATTTGTTAAACGTATACTTAGAAAGGTATTGCAGTATTGAATTAGAAGATTTTTTAAAATCGTAAGAACAAAGCTTTATTGAAGACAAAGGCTCTAATGATATAAGTTCGCCAACTCTTATTCTATTTGATTATTCTGATCAATTTGAAACTAAGAAATAAATAATTATATGCATTTTCATTCAATTAGAGGATTTGCACTATTGACAAATTTGATAAATAGATATTTCTGATCACGTTGCCTATTCATGATGCTATGGAACATTGTTCTAATCGATAGCAAAAGTCCCAACGTAACTAACAATCAAGTGTGCAGTCATATAATCTTCTGATATGATCAACTAATAATAAAGTCAATTTTACGTAATGTAATATGATCAGAACAAATGTTCATTTTGAAAAAATCGCCTTTTTCTTAAAAATTTGCATAAGAAACTGCCTTTTATGCTCTAACAAAAAAATTCCTTGTATATATATAATACTTTACTAAAATCCCAGAAATCACCCAACCCTAAAGTAAACGAACTCAAAATTTTTCTGGTCTCATGTGACTGTGCTCTTGATTGTCAGTTACATTAGATTTGCTAATCGCCTATGCTACTGGTAATCGATACTTACCCTATTTATCAAATATACACTTCGAAAGGTATTGCAGTATTGTATTTAGGAAAGTAAAAATATATAGATATAATATTAGTTGGGCTCAAAAGAATATATGTATTTAGGGAGGTGTTTCATAGAACATGTACTTAGGGGGTAGCATTTAAGGAGAGTTTGATTGTATATAAATTACATATTCTATATTAATATTATATATGTATTAAAATTGTATATAAAATAAATATTATTAATAAATATTTTATAAATGTTTTATATAAA